GGGGGGGTCCAAATTTACAGGGGGAGGGGGGTTCCATATTGGGAAAAATTGGGGGAAATGGTGAAAATACATGATTTTTAAAGAAAATTCTCAGAGTGGGGTTGAAGCCCATAAAACCCCTCTGGATCTGCCACTGTACGAGATATCAGACCAGAATGTGTACGGCCGTGATGGAACTGCCTCTAATTGTTCCTAAATGAACAACATCCCCCAATTTCCGTACATGACCATGGTATGTGTTATGTCGCTCATGCCAGTGAAAAATCATGACAGCAAAGCAGTATTTTTACAATTACATCAACACAAATTGCATGACATGTTCGTATATATATATATATTTATAACCTGCAACGCAGAATTAAACATGCCGGCAACCTGCACGCGCCAGTTGACCCTAAACATGTAAACTCCACATGTCTTCGAATTAAATCTTTTGGAACACGACCAAAAAGTGAATTAGAAAATACGGGGAGAAGTTTTGTCAAAGAAGCGGAACAGTAAGGTGACCATTATGACCCCTACCGTCGACAATCTCCGTTTGTATTTGCTCGTGTGGTCTCATCTCCCTGATAACCCAATGAAACACCAACAGTTCTGATAAAACACAGACAAATCGGTTTCTACTAGTTGTTGTTAATCTTTTTATGTATCTGCGTTGATACTCACTAGTATTAAAGAAAATGTTATCATATAAACCTTTCGTAATTTGTCTAGGGATTGTAAGCAAATATCTATTTCTCAGCATTTTTTCTCTCTTTCTTTCTCGACAAAAAGGTGTATATAGGACTATGCAAATATATGTATCACTAAAGCATAATTTCTTTCTTAATGTGTCTTTGTATCTCACTGAAAGAAAATCTATCCAAAGGGGACACTTTGTGTAAAGGAGTTTGAACTTGACCTTTTTAAACTGACTTGCTGAATTTTAAAGTAATGCACATTACGTAAATATCTATGAAGTAATCTAATGTCGTTCGAGATTTGTCTAATGTATTTAAAACCTGCGTAAAAGGATTGTTTTTGTATAGACATGCCACCTGTCTTTGTTAACTACAATATACATACACACACGCAAGCGCGCATCACTACACACATGGAGGCACGCCTTAGATTACGTTAGCTGTTAAAAGGACGTTAAATAAAATTAAACCAAACCAAACCAATATACAAATGAAATATTCGTACATCCATTTTCACGATCACATGACTTAAAATCTTTCCATGACCATAAATGTCATGTGACCTAATTATAAGCTATTGTAAGATACCAATAAAAAACAATCCATTAAGGTTATAGTGTTATGACTGCTAAATCTTATCATGAGAGTTTGGTGATGACGTCATTTTACACCTGTTGTTACTAATAGTGCACATGAAATGTATATACCATATCGATTAGAAAACAAGATAACTACAAAATATAACTAGGCTTATTGACCAATGGAAGAAAGAAACCAGTCGTCAATTTTCAAAAACGTAAACAGACATACGCTCCATGATGAATTTAAATCGTAGTTTAAATTTGTTGCTATTTGCAGTGAAGTCGAGGTCCTGTCTTACTGTGCGTCACGACCAAAGCAAACGCCCGTCCACTCATTGAGGGAGGCCATGTGCTTGGCCGCCATGTTGGCCTCGGATCCTAAATCCTTAAGCTGCACTTTACTACTTCATTGTCCAATCTCTGATATCAAGCGTTTACGTGACCATATCAAACATATGGGCGACAAGGATTAATTAAAATACTTACGGAGCCGTATTCCGGTGTTCGAACCAAAACCTCATCATGTTTCTCCCGTGGAATACACAAAACAGAGCACCAAAGCTACCTAGAAGTCCCGGATACTGTTTATATGTTCACAGAAACAACAAACATCCCGCCTCCCCCGAATTATCAATACAAGACGAGTGAAATCTTTACAGGAGATAAAAGAGAAAGGAATTCCGTGCAAGGGCCAGTAGTGATAGTCTGGGACGTCCTGGTAGAGTTAGCGGCGAGCATACTGGCTCTGAAGGGCCCCGCTATTTGTTTGGCGTCTGGCGTAAGTAGTACCAGAACAGCATGTTCAGCGATAGTAATTAACGTGCAGAAGAGAATCTTGTGTGTGGAGAAACTGTTTCCATGTAAAAGCCCAGGAACTATCCAAAATTTACCATCTTCTGACGAACAAAAACGTCTCAAAATCGTGAAGCATGAGCATTTGTATATCAGAAAAGTAAAAACCAACAAAATTACTTTTGATATATATTAACCGTGCACACCAACTTGTTAACCCAACTTCGCGTAAAAGTCAGAGTTACAAAAACATGACCTTCGGCGGTTTGCCGTGAACTGACCTATGACATTTACATCTGGTTTACATTCTTTCAAGTGTGAATTACTGTCAACGTGAGAGGGATGAAAGACTACCCCAAACTTTGATGCATGCCGACTGTTAATAAATAGCATACGGGTTGAGCTGTTTTGAGGCAAAATATATATAAATATATATATTTTTTTAAACGCCACTAACATTTTTTTTTTTTATTTACATTATAAAATGACGCTCATTGTTCATCCCAGCATGCTCCTCTTTTTTTTTTTAAATTAACAAAAGTGAATTATAACATTTAAGCCATCGTGTATCATCACTGAAATATCTACAGTGATACTTGTCTTATCCGACTCATTTGCATTCTGACATCCTGTAATATTCGAGATACAGGCCTAGGTGTCGGATGAGACTGATTTCGCTATATATTTCACAACAAGGAGTCAGAGTAGAAAAAAATCGCAAAAGATTTCATCAACAGTGTGTCGGATTAGACATGTTTCGCTATAGATCCAACAACGGGGTGTTGGATTAGACAGGTTTCGCTATAGATCCAATAACAGAGTGTCGGATTTGACCGATTTCGCTATATATCCAATAACGGGTTGTCGGATTAGACAGGTTTCGCTATATATCCCACAACAGGTTGTCAGAGTAGATAAGGTTCGCTGTCGATTACGCAACAGGGTGTCATATTAGAAAGGTTTCGTTTTATTTCACACAACAGTTTTTTCGGATTAGACCGATTTTTCTGTAAATTGCACAAGATTTCAGATTAGGCAGGCTTTTCAATAAGAATGTACAGAATAATGGATTTGAAAGGTTTCACTGTACGAAAAAGATTCTTAAGAAGCGGAAGTTGTTGTCATATCGAATTTGGAATGCATCATTCAGAACAGAAAGAAAACTCTAAAATTAAGTTGTTGGTTTGTATAGGCAATTTTATATCGACAACACTATTCTTCCAGGCATATTCTTCAACCAGTCACACACGTAAACCAATCCAGGATAGATAGAAATGAAACACACCTAAATTTAATCATAAAACAACGATGTAATTGAAATTGTATTTGCAATCCGAACTAGACTATTTTCGAAAAGATTTCGAGTTTGTTGCCAAATGTTAAATCTATTTTCTCTCCTAGCTAAAGATCCAATGTACAAATGTTCAAAGCGCCTCTACAATAATGCACGGTACCTACAGGAAAGCTTCCGTACATGCGCCAATTTTATTTTATTTTAATTTCAATCTGCCAAAGTATATAAATTAAATTAAGGATCACTACAAATCTTCACTTTCAGTGCATAATGTTCAAAGATATTGAAATTTACGTCTTGCGTATCCAATTGCGGCATAGGTTTTTCAT